CGCGAGGAGAGAAGGGAAAGAGGTACAGAGCCAGTGGAGTCCCGCCCCAAATGATATCGTTTCAACGGGGTTCTGAGTCAAGTGATTTAGTCGTAGCTTGGGATGACCGAAGGAGTGATACTAGAGTAGCTGATTCATTTTCAGTAATCGTAACTATGGAACTTGATCCATGGATGGGACTCGTGACGCAGACCAGAATATAGACGTTTGCAGTCCGCCCATATAAGTTGGTCCCCACGCTGCAGTCATCCATTGCCGTGCTTATAATTGCCCTGTTGATCGTTATCAGACCTTATTACAGCAGCGGTTACGAAAGTAATGCCAGGAAATTCTAGGGATCGGGAGATCGTCAGTGATGTTGCGAGTCATTCCATTGGCATGGTGAGGCTTCAATAGAGATTATACGATTCTTTATGGGGATTTATTAATACCTCTGGACATAAATGTCTGTAGTCAAAGGAGAAATGTTGCGACTTCATTTCTGACTACTGTCTACGATTGTTGGTATTTTGGGTGACTGTGCATCTTCCTTTAGATCCTTGTCGCGATATACAATGCGGTGCAAACGCCTATTGCACAAACGGACAATGCTTTTGCCAACAGGGCTACGATGGCGACCCACAAATCGAATGTCGTCCTTCGTGTACGTTGGCAGGGTTGATCACAATAGTCCTAACCTTGCCTCGATTGCTAGCATTTGACCAGGCTTATGCGCAGTGTTTAAAAATACTTCCTTCCTGATAATAGCAATATGTTTACCCACCCATTCCTGACTGCATAAAGGTAAAATCACTTCTACTTTAAAAGAGACAAGCGGAAAAGCTACTAACGTTTTTAGTTCTATGAAGTGAAAGCATCCAAAGAACGAACAGCAGCAAGGAGGTTTGAAATGGCCTGAAGGCCACAGTGCAGACGGTGGACAGGAGGGCCAAACCACCCGTGGCACATTTTTTTAAATTATGCTGATTTTTGTGCTTACATTGTAAAAGTTTATATGTTAGAGAGTTATCAGTAGTGACGTCGAACTTATTAGGCATTTTGAACTTAAATAATGGCTGAAAATCTCACTGTAGATCAAAGCAACGATCCTTGCAGCCTACCAACGGAAATAGGCTCGTGCTCTGGATCTGTCCTACGCTACACCTACAACCGTTCTACCGGCCGCTGTGAAGCTTTCTACTACAGTGGCTGCCACGGCAACGCGAACAATTTCGAGAACCTGGACGAC